CCCAGGAGTGGCAACAAAAAAAAAAAAGAAAAGAAATTATAAATTTTGAAAACGAGTTTGAGCAGAAACCTGAAGTACTATGGGAAGAAGGAGCACAATGATTGGCCATGTATCCTGCCACATGTTATGTCTACCATTTTTTATCCCTATCTACCTAACAGCTTCCCTCTCTTTCAGTCATAGCTTTTGTATCTAAATACACACTTGACCTCTCTCTGAAGTTCTATATCCACAGGCCGTTCTTCTGTCTGTACATTAAAAAAAAGATAAAAGCACTATTATACAAAATCAACCCAATAGAGTTCCTTGTTCCACTTATTGCTTTTAATTTTTCTTAATAATTTCCACATTCAAAAAGATTATTGTGGACACTGATGTCTCACATCTGTAACTCTAGGTACTCAGGAGATATGAGAATCAGAATTAGAAACCAGCCCAGAAAGGAAAGTCTGTAAGATGCTTATCTCCAATTAACCACCAAAAAGTAAGAAGTAGAGCTGTGAATTAAGTGGTAGAAATCTAGCTTTGAACAACAACAAAAAAATCCCAGGGACAATGCCCAGGCTTTGATTTGCCTCAGGACATAGCACACAAAAACAATTAAAATATAAAACATCAGATTATTGTTAAAAATTTCAATATATATCCTACAAAATTAAGAAAGGCAAGGGAAGGGTTGGGTTGGGAAGGATGGGTGACAATGTTGAGAGGGGTGACAATAATCAAGATGTACTGTAGTCAAAAGCTGCTTTGATGAATGGCAACTCCTTTGTAAAACTACCTAAAGGTAATAAAACTATTTTAAGAGATAAAAACATAATATTGTGATATTTAACAGTTACCGTGGTTTTAAATAAATATGATGGTTAGTTTTTTAAGAAAAAATTAATTCTTTTACATCAGCTATGTTGTACAATTTTCATCTGTAATTAATACCTATAAATAATAAAATTTAACTTAGTTAAATTCCTTACTCTGGCCCTAGGAGCTTGCTCCCTCCCCTTTGTTGCCTTTCAGTTTGTTTCCTTTGATGTTGTTTGATGGGTAAGTAGATCCCAGAGCCTCTTCTGAGAACATGCTGACTTTTTGCAATATAGGCTTTCTTCTGAATTCATACAGCTTTTCTAAGGGCCACTGCCCAGAAATGTAACCTCTCAACAGGTTACATTTGTGAAGTTATTAAGTTGAAACAGAATACTTTCAAAAAGGTTTGGCAAGGCTCAGATTAAACAAGGCAAGAAGTTTTACTATAGAATATTGCTATTTATTGATGCAGTGAATCATTTTGCATAGAGAAAAATACATTTATCAAAATCCTATGATATCTGGATTAGGCTATTTACAATGGGTGACAAGTGGTAGCAGTATTGATTTTCCCAGAGGGTTTCCAGGGGATCTGCTTACTCAAAAGGTCATGACTGTGAACAAACTGGTTATCCAGACTGTGGCAGACTACCCATATTCCATGTCATGATCATTCTCCCTGCCACCTTAAATACCACATTGCTTATGAGATCTAATGATGAGCATGCTTGGGGAGATGGCAGAAGTCAAGTCCACCACTTCATTATGATATTGGATGAAATGATACAGGTCTGTGAAATGCAAACAAGTGGAAGAGAGTCACAAAAATTATTGTGAGAAAAATTGTCTTTTCAATCAAAGTGTGTTACTTAAAATTTTCTGCTTTGACCTAGTGGCTTGGGTCTTGTTAAGGAAAATAGGAATTTCTTTGGGCTAGCATTTTTGAAATGCAAAGTTTTGTCTTAAGCTAGTTTCTTCTGCAGGTGGAATTAAGACACACCTCAAATTGTTCAAGAAAGCGGAGGATACAGGTATATTTTGAGATTACCTGTATGCTGCTAACCTTAATTCAGAGTACCTTGTATAAATATATTTTACCCTATTTAAGCTAGGCAACTGTGCAGATTGTGAACTTGAACTCAAACAATCTGAACAAAGTGTCAGGGCTTGCTATATTAGGGACAATTAGAGGGGCAGCCTGCCTGTTATGTGTGCTGGCTTGCCAGATGTTTAGCTGATGTGCAATCTTCTGCACATTGCTGGGGCAATTCTTTATTTTTGTGTCTGTCATTGTGTCCTCACTGATTCTTGGACAACATATAACATTATAGAGAATGGGTAAGTAGAGTCCTTAACTAGCTCAAATCTTTAGAACTAGATCTGAACTGTCTTACCTCAATCACCAAGGGACAGAACAAGGCTTGAGAGTTGTGCTGATATCAGTGCACAGTGCAGAATGATATATTTTGCAATATGGTTGAAAAGAATACCAGTATTGTTTTCCTATAGGTTTCTTATAGATTTGTATTATAATGTACTAAGAGATAACAATGAGTCTTCTAGGTTCCGAAAGAAAGAAAGCCTTAATGCCGAATGACTATTTCATTAAACAATGTCCTCTTCAAAGTGTATCAGTGAAAGTGTGTACTGAGAGAATATGAGCACTAGCCCAGAGTATCCCAGAAGTGTGGATCACAGAACCTATCACTGAGGTCCCAGTCCCCATGATAACTGTAACTCTTATAAGCTCTGGCTTGAAATCATGCAGAGGTAGAGCTACATTAAACAAAATAGTTTGCCCTTAAGCATTAATTAAACATAAATGCATATAAAGGGAGTTAGCAGTTTTGGCACAATGTATTTCCCATTACAACAGTATATTTTTATAAGCAAAAGTTCTTCAATGAGAAGGCTGGACTTTCTCCCTTTAATTAAAATTGAAAATAGATCTTCCCCTTAAGGAAAACTTAGATATCATACTTAGTTTACATTTCATCTTGATGTGAAGCTGTTGACAACCATTCCTATCTACTGTCCCTGATGCTCTGCCCCAATGTGCAATTTCATTAAAAGTTCAATATTCCTGCAGTAAATACAGATGTTCTCACTTACATTGCTTCTGCTATAGCTATCAGCTTATTTTCCAGCACTAAATTTAAATTATTCCCTAAGATCATAGAACCATCACACACATTTTTATTCATTGGTATAAGTGACATAAGGAAGTGTTTTTGGAAAAAGAAACTGAGAGGTAAGAGTAGAGAAATGACCCTTGCTTTTAATCACTAATTATCGTGATCTATAAACGTGAATAACTTGATGGAACTTGTTTTGTAATGTATTTATACTTTTATTGGTTCAAAAACAACTGAGTAGCGGAGCCATGCTTTTATGTAACAGCAACAACAAAAATAATAGTTTCCTTGTCATCATTGAATGTAAAAAAGAACTTGATGGATTAGTTACAGCAAACAAATCATCCAACCACAATTTAATGTAAGCCAAATGTATATATAGCTTTGATATGTGTTCCAAGCCACTTTAAATTAAATAAAAAACTCATCATAATAAACAATACCATAGCAAGTAAGAAAACCCCAACACTTTTTTTAAATTTTTTTTATTTTTATTGTGAAAATACTGTACAGAGGGGTTACAATTACATGGGTAAGATAATGAGTACATTTCTTATCAAGCATTGTAGCCTCTTCCAACCCCAACACTTTCTATGTGGTCTGTTTTCCTATAGATCCTTTCCATTACACAAAGATTAATTTGACCAGAATTGTATTGTTCTTTCATTTATACAATTCCTCTTAAACTCATCTGAGAATTCATCAAGTTTATACATAAACCAAGTTTAGAAATTAGCCACTGTGAAGTTTGAAGAATTGTATCAAGGTTTTTAATGTTCTGGACAGCATAAAGAATACCTTGTGTTAGTAAATATTTTACTACTTTTTGCAAGATGTAGAGAAGGAATCTGAGTTGGACATTCAGAAAATTATAGTTTCTATTCAGAAAACCAAGGAAGGTTTTAATGACTAAAATGATATGGTAATTATATTTCTTTCAGTTTCTGCATGTATAAATTATTGTCTTTATGTTAAGTCCAGAAATCATAACTGGGTCAAAGAATTCTCATGCTTGAGATGTTTAGCTTAATAGAGTCATGGATAATGTAGTCCTCATATAGTACCTTAAGATGAAATTGAAAGACTAAATATACATGTATCTTTACAGAGAGACAATAAAGAGTAGAAGTCTCCTTGAATATAAGAGGAGATTAGTGATCACTGAGGTGTTGTGGGGAAGAAAGGGAGAACAGAAGAGAAAAGCAGAGATGCAGACAGAGAAAAGGAAACAAGACAGAGATACACAGAGAGGAAACAGGAGAAGGAGAGCAGGAGAAAGACAGAAAGGGAGAAAGAAAAGGGAGGGAGAAAGAGGGAAAGAGAGAAGAGGGAATGAAAAGAAGAGGGAGAGTAAGAGGGGGAGAGAGAAATAGGAAGGAAAAAGAGAAACTGAAGAATTATTCTTTCTCTATAGTGAAGAAAATATTCTGTTCCTATTCTCAGAGAATCATATATACATGTGAACTTCTTGGTTAAAAAAATTAAGTGAATATAGCTAGTAGACAATATCCAAGGTATTATCTAGGAGTCAGGTGAAGCATTAGGGCTCTTTTAACTGGTTGAGCAATTTTCTTGATGTTCAGAAAGCAATGACAAATGTAGAGTTCCAGAAATCTATTGTCCTACAATCAGACACATGGCTCTAGATTCCTTCTTTACTTGGGATGTAGACATATATACTATTTTTTTAATCCGAGTTTGAATTTCCTTGTCTATTAAAAATATGATATGCTAACCTAATAGGTTTCTATATGATATATATGAAATCATTGATACCTGCTAGTTTTATAATAAATGATATTTTTATTTTCTACCAAATAAATGATATTCTCCAGAAGAGAAATGGTAAATCTAGCACAGTACAAATGTTGTGTAAAACCACTGTTTTCAATCAATATAGCCTCCCTCAAGCTAAATGCATAGGAATGAAATCACATGGAGGCAGTCTTCATTTTTAGTCACCAAACATCATAAATAGAAATATATCACCAACAGGATGAATGGCTAGATTTAGCAGATCAAATGCCAATGCTAACTGCAGATAGTCAACAACACAAGAAGGCCATTCCTTTATTCAGACTGCATGTTTAAAACATAAGTACAAAGTAAGATCTATTGCAGCCACAGCACTGTGATTCATGCCAAAGATCTTGCTCTTCCATCTTCTGTTTATGGGGTGAAAGAGGAAGTAAAGGACAATATAACACAATCCGAGGCCCCATTCTGCTTTTTAAAACAGGATGAAAAAGCCAAATTCACAATAGAGGAACAGAGTTAAATTGTATGGAGTTGCTTATTCTAACAATATATATATTAACAGCTGGACAAAGAAAAATAGAAACATTCTTGTTCTATTCTGACTATCAAAAAGAATAATATGTAAAATTGAGGCAAAAGAAAGGACTAATTTCATCTGTTCATGAAGTCAATTGTTTCCTGTTAGTCCTCAGGACAGCATGACAGCCATCTCTGCAGGGACTGAACACTAACTACCTTTTGGTAGATCATTTTTGTTTTCATGCAGTATCTTAAACATAAACATAATGGCTCTTAGTGTCAGAATAGCAAGCTTGCACAGATAGGAGTTACATTTTCTTAAGCCTTTGTCTAGAAAGTTTCATTTCAGTCCCAATGCTCTGGGAGCCAAGATGGTCACCACACACTTGGGTGAATTGTACAAAGGAAGTAGGCAGACTAAAAGTTGGATTTTTAGAGGCTATTTATATATGACAAATGACTGTTTATATAAAAGGATATAAACATCAAAATTCTGACAACATGTAAGTTTTCTGAGACAGTTTTGAATAATTTCTAATAAATACTACTTTTGTAAACCCAACCCATTCCATAATGTAAAACTGGCGGAGATTATGCAGCTCTTTTCAAGAAAAAAAAAAAAAAACATTTCTTGGATCTGGAAATAAACAATTTTATTCTCTTTGCAACAATTTCAGCAACAAATATGCTGATTTGAGACTATATTCTTATGTGTGTCTTTGTTCAGCTATTGCTAGAAAGCTGAATATGCAATTATGATCTCATATCTGATTATAGGTAGTATAATTTAGTCTAGAAAAAATATTATGAATTAGCTCTTAGATACTACCAACATATGTACTGCTTTATTACAGCATCAAAACATTATAGATAATCCAATACTTATTTTTAATATACATTTTTCATTAAATTCAATATTTTCCTCAACTTAAAAATCTTAATTTTTCATAGCATTATTTATATTCTTGGTTTTCATAAATTTTAATGTAACTTTCTTTTCTTTGTGTCATTTGTTTACTCTGTGTGGTTTTTCATAGCAAATAGAAATAGTTCATCATTCATTACATTTTCATCTGCATGCAAAGTTAATTTTCCTTTCTTTTGAAAATTCACTAATAATAAAAATATATTGAGGCCAGTGGCTCTGACTTGTTATTCTAGCTACTCAAGGGGCTAATATCTGAGGATCATGATTCAAAGCCAAGCGAATAGTCTGAGATTCTTATTTCTAATTATTCATTAAACATAGCTGGAAATGGAGTTATATCTCAAGTGGCAGAATGCTAGCTTAAGCACAAAAGCTCAAGGGACAACATTCAGGCCCTAAGTTCAAGTCCCCCAACAGCACGCTCGTGTGCGTACACACACACACACACAGGTGGTGTATATATTCTAAATATATAGAGAGAAATTGTACTCAATAAATGGAAATAAATATGATCTTTATGTCTCTTCAAAAGACTAACAGCTGATACAATAAGGAATTAATGATGTATCTGTTTTCTTGGAGTTGTAAAATGACATAGAGAATAACAGGTTAACTTATGATGATATATAGCACAATGTATTTGTTTATTACAGTAGAAAACAGTTTGCTATATGTTTCTGAAGGACAGAAACTGCCAAATGAAGCATGCGTGAATGGAAAGCTTTGCCAGCTCTTGCTGAGACTCACAATGGAGTCAGGTGGCTAAAAGACGGAGTGATTTTCAGTTGTGCAAGGAATCTGAAACATTGAAGAACATTTGCCATCTTATCATTGTTCACTATTTACAAATAGTGTCCTTCAAGCATTACTGCAAAGCAACCTGCCTTCTTCCCGCCCACCAACACACAGTTCAACATTCCCAAAGAATCTCTGTAACCTTATTCAGTACTCTCCAGTGGCCCTTCAGGATAGCCTTTCTCACTATAGCATAGTTTGAGTTCCAACATTAGCTATTCTACCAAACTGCTGCATGTACTTTGCCTGTGCAGTTTCACAAAACTTTACCCCTATAAAAGCTTCTATCTATTTACAAATTTGTATATGATATGTGAGAATATCTGGGACCAAGAAGTGGGGACCTAGGAACAATTATGAAGACAGTCATTGCTTGATGGACTCAGTGTCTAGGGTTTCCTTTGAACAGGAACAGAAATTGCTAGGTCATTTTGTTCTTTACTTTCACACAATACCAGAACTCCAGTGATATTTCTAGGAATCTAAAACATAACTCTTTAGGAACTGTTCCTCACATGATAAGAAAAAAAATTGGGAAATAAATCACAACTGCAGAACCTAATGAATGAAAATTAAAATAGCACTGTAAATTTTGGAAAGCATGAACCACTGTAGACTCTAAGTTGGAAGTTGTATGAGATCATCAGTTCCTTCAGTTTCATGGCCTTTCTGAAGGAGTTTCATCTGTCAGTCATTCCTAGCTCAGGACATATAAGTAGATCACCCTGAGGAAGAATTCACAGAATGAGGGAAGTGAATAGAATCACTTCAGATTGTCAGTAGCTTTCTTCCTTTAGATGAATATTTGATGTTCTCTCTCTCTCTCTCTCTCTCTCTCTCTCTCTCTCTCTCTCTCACACACACACACACACACACACACACACACACACACACACACACCTTATTCTTATCTTTAGAGCAGCTACATTGGCAGGAGAAGACTTCAAGGTGTCCCCTTTCTAAACTGGCTATTTTTAACTTATTTAAAAAAAAAAAACAGAAGCAATGAAGCCCAGGGTAACTTCACTCTTATCCTAGAGCTAAAATGTTCTTGTAGATCACTAACTCACAATATGTGATCCAAGCTAAAATTTGAAGGTAATGCCTTGAGCTAATGATTAAAGAATGTGTTTTTTCTGGATGCTGGTGGTCATATTGGTTAATCCTAACCATTCAGGAGTCTGAGGTCTGAGGATTATAGTTCAAAGGCAGACCTGGCTTGAAGCGAAGCTGTGGCACAAGTGGCAGAGAGATAGTCTCATGGGAAAATAAATTAATTAATAAAAAATAACCTCAGGGGCTGGGAAGGAGGATCAGTGGTAGAGAGCTTGCCTTGCATGCATGAGGCCCTGGGTTTGATTCCTCAGCACCATATAAACAGAAAAGGCCAGAAGTTGTACTGTGGCTTAAGTGGTAGAGCACTATCCTTGAGCTGAAGAGCTGAGGGACAGCACCCAGGCCTAGAGTTCAAGCCCCACAACTGACAAAACAAAAAAAAACAAAAACAAAAAACCCTCAGGAACAGGGTCCAAGTCCTGAGTTCAGGGTCTAAAACACAGAAAAAAGTGCATGTTTTTCCTTGGGTTTATATCATCTACATACCCAAATAGCATTCAATTAATACTCTCAGCATTTCTCACTTCTTCTTGTGGCTGACCATTTTGCTAAGTTCAACAAACTAGTCATAGTCAACAAACTATTTGTTTTAGATTGTCTGCAAATAATTGTTTTACTTCAAACATCTGTTACTGCAATTTCTAGTTATTTAAAAAAACTGGCACAGATTTATCCATTCTTTTGGAACAAAATGATTATAGATCACTTTTGTTATAAGTTTGCACCCAAACAGGAAGGGTGCTGTACTCGAATGCTCATTCAGAGGCCAACCATGTGACTGACATGCTAGGAGCACTCAATACAAGGTAACCCTAAGTGCTGTTAATTCCCTATCCTTGTTTTAGTGATGTTTTACTTGATAGTGATTTCATTAGCTATGATTGAACTTTGAATAGAGGAAACGATTCATCCTATTCAGAAACTGTAATGAAAATGGTAAATCAAAAGATTCTTCGCCCTTTCAGTGTTGATTGTAGACTTGCTGGTTTTGCTCCTCAGTGGGGTATAACCATAATGTGTGACCAAGCCTCAATACATCTATACAGTTATGGGCTGGAATAAGCCAAAATAAATATTTCTTCTATATAAGTTGATTTTTTTCAGCCCTGTCATATTAATATGAAAGAAATGAGTATGACTATCCAAGAACTGGAAGAATCCATATGGTGATAAAAATGTTGTGTTTCCAGGTGCCTGTGGCTCACACCTGTAATCTTAGCTACTGAGAAAGATGAGATCTGAAGATCATGTTTCAAAGACAGCTCAGCCAGAAAAGTACTTTAGACTGTTTTCTCCAATTAGTAACCAAAAAGCTGGAAATAGTGCCTTGGTTCAAGTGGTAGAGCACTATCCTTGAACAAAGAAACTCAGGAACACACCCAGCCTCTGAGTTCAAGCACTAGGACTCTCACATGCACAAAAATAGTTACATTTCTTGGGCTGGGAAGGTGGCTCAGTGGTAGAGTGCTTGCCTCGCATGAATGAGGCCCTGGGTTCCATTCCTCAGCACCACATAAGCCAGAAGTGGCACTGTGGCTCAAGTGGTAGGGTGCTAGCCTTGAGCTAAAGAGCTGAGGAATAGCGCTCAGTATCAGAGTTCAGCCCCCATGACTTCAGACTCCCCCCTCCAAAAAAGAGGTACATTTCTTGAGTATATCAGTTTCTATTTCCTGATTGTGATAAAGGGCTGTAAATTTACAAAGTATTAACATCATGGAAAGCCAAGTAACCTCTATTAAGTAACCTTTGTATTATTTGTTATAACTGCTCCTGATTTTTTTGTTTTGTTTTGTTTTGTTCATCATGGGGCTTGAACTCTGGGCCTGGGCACTGTCCCTGAGCTCTTCAGCCCAAGGCTAGTGCTCTACCACTTGAGCCACTGCACCACTTCTGGTTTTCTTGTGGTTAATTGGAGTTAAGAGTCTCATGGACTTTCGCTGGATTTAAACTGTGATC